TATATATATATATATATATATATATATATGAATTTTCCAGGTCATTAAATACTTGGAGGAAAAGCAACACAAATGACACCATCAGGTGTGTACCTTCCCTCCCACCTGGCTTGCATCTGCTGTCTTTAGTCATGATAACCCATTGGACTGTCTTTTAATGTGGGTCCTAATTCCAGATGATTGTGCTTGATGACAACAGTCTATGTGCCTCTGGTGTTTTTCCCCACATCTACATTTCTCCAAATGGAGTATGGAAGAACCCTTGCTTACACAGTCCCAAGCTGCTGAGGAAGTTGATATGGAGAGTTCCTCATTGAGAAGTGCAATCCCACTGGTTTGAGACTGAGCTTATGCACCCCTTGTTTGGGAAGTAGGGCTGGGGTGTTACCTGGTATTTAGGAACAGGTCACCCCACTATGTTATGAACCAAGCCATTTCAGGTGGTTGGGTCCACCTCATGACACAGGTCTGGGATGCTACTTCATGCAACCTGACTTTACAGCCCTAGCCGCATGAAACACTGATGTTCAGCTGCCCACTTTTGAGCAATCTGCCATTTAGTAATTAATTAGCACCCAGCAAAAGATTCTTACAAAAATATATTTTGCTCTACTATTTTGTTGGGCAGAGAATATTCTCTGCTTGAAATGGATGCAGTCTCCCACCAAGTGCTACCCTACTAAGCTGCTTCCTGCCTCATAGATGTCACACTCCATGGGCTTTCCCTTTCTGACACTGTTTGAAGGAAGCACATTTTTGTAATTTCTCTGTAACCAACCCCACATCACCACCACCATTTTTAATGTGGAATTCTAGCTCTTTGTGGTTCTGAGAGGTGAGTAGCAATTCTGAAGTTAACATTTTCCTTACCTGAAAATGTATTCATCCCCTCTTCTGGTGTCATTATTTTGCCTAGACAAGAATGAGCCTGTGTTCAAATGCTAGTGCTCATGTGGGTTACTGTGATTACCTTCCTATTGGTGGAGGGCTATAGTCTAATGATGATTACACCATAGGTTTGCAGAATACTCATTGACACGTGTAGGGGTGGAGCTTTGTTCAAGGCTTGTGATATGTGCAGGAATTTAAATGTCAGTGCATGTGCGGTAATAGCTCTTTGTTTTGCAAAGAGATGAGTGAATCTGTCTGAAATACATTTACAGGTAAGAAAAATTTTAACTTTGCCTTATTATGGGTAAAATATAGAAAAACATTGATGTTAATTCAAGGATGTCTAACATTACTAAATAAAATTAGTTTTGCCTTATCTTAGCTAGAATATAGAAACTTTGATGTTAACTGAACTATGACATTGACATTATTTAATAACAATAGTCTTGGCATGTCACAGTTAGAATATAAACATTTGATATTAATTCAAGGATGACATTGACATTATTTAGTAGCAGTGATTTTGCCTAATTGTTGTAAGAATATAGGTGACATTATTTAATAACCGTACTTTTGTCTTATATTAGTAAGAATACAGAAGACTTTGATGTCAACTCAAGAATGAAAAGTTTTTACCTTTTCATAGCTAGAATGTAGAAAACTATGGTTATTCCTTAATTACTTTGAGCATTACCTGCAGCTATAAATAATACAAGTCAAATTACAAATGAGTTGATTTTTCTATTTAGACTTTCAACCAAACACTTGGAAAAATACATGCTCCAAGAAATTCACATTCCTAAGTGTAACAAAACTTTCTTATATCTGGGCTCAGCAGTTAATGGTCAGAACCTATGTTTATCTGTACCTCTTTCAATCCATATGAATAATAAAATCAAATTTGTCTTTTAAAATATAATATTTGACAACAATTTTTTTTTGTTTCATTATCATGAACTAGTGATATTACGTGAAGCTTATTGTTAAGGAATGAAATATTTTAACAATTTTTCTCTTAAATTTCTATCTAGTAAAAAGAACAAGAGAAGCTGCTCTTGATGCCAAGTTTGTGTCACTGTGTGCTGTTCTTAGCAAGCAAAAGGCAGAGGCACTTAATACTAACTTGATATCCTTTCAACCCACAGAGTTTGCAGACAAATTGGTAAGTTTTCTGAAAAGGGGGTGTTGTTGTACTGAATAATCAGTGTATGAATATTGCACATATTGACTTAGCATGGAATTAGTGCACCTCTTGTTTTGTATATGTGTGTATAGAAAAGGAATCTGGTAAGTGGAGTACAAGGCCATGCTGACTACAGAAAAGGAATCTGGTAAGTGGCAAAAATGTCAAGTACAAGGCCTTGCCGACTACAGAAAAGGAATCTGGTAAGTGGCAAAAATGTCAAGTACAAGGCCTTGCCGACTACAGAAAAGGAATCTGGTAAGTGGCAAAAATGT